GTGTAAAATGTAAAAAGTAAAAAAGCAATCAGCTGCAGGCTAACTCACCAGCAGATGTCACTAAATCCAATCGTTGAAGCACTCAATGAGGAATTAAAGGTAAACTGTCTTGTTTTGAATGTAAAACAAGACAGACAAACTAGCAAAGCACAGCAGAGCTGCAAATAAAGTGAGGACATTGAAGAGGTCCTCACTTTAAATCAAAGATCTCACTTTGATAGTAACTATGGTCCTCACTCTGTAGTAAAAACAAGTACACACACACGTTAAATATTTTTTATTCTCTAAAAGTTTTAATAATTTTTTTGTCTGACTGCACAAATCTTTCAAATATTTCTCTCTGGTTTTCAGAGAAACCTTTGAAGTTCATTGGAACAATTTGTTAATTCTCTTATTTAATAATCTTTATAAATCACAGCATTTTTTTGTATTATTATGACCCCCGCATGCGAAGCGTAAGCGGGAGTCATATTGTTTTCGAACTGTTTATTTTTATTGTTTTTTTTTCCTCCAGAGATATTTGGTCAACCGTAGCAAAAACAAAACAAAACAAAACAAAAAAAAAACAAAACAAACAAACAAACAAAAAAAAACAACGGCTGCACCAATCAACATGAAATTTGGCAGGACTGTAGAAGAGTCTGACCTACACTGCACCAGCCAATGGTAGACCCCGTATTTGAGGAGGGGGCTCCGTTCAAAGAGGGGGTGTCTGGACATGCAAAAATGCTTATAACTCAGAAACTGTTAAACATAGAAGCTTCAGATTTCTTTTGTTGTTTAGCTCTGATGAAGCTCTATCCATCAGGTCCACTAATTAGTACCCCCACCCCCCATCGGACCCCCAATTTATCTGAAAAAGGGTTTTTTTATACAGTTTTTTTCCCAGTGATTTTTGGTCAACCGCAGCACAAAAATGGCTGCCCCAATCAACATGAAATTTGGCAGAGCTGTAGATGACCCAGGATTTTTCAGAAACTAGATGTGTGTCCCATCAGTGTGTGAATGTGATCAGCACTGATTAGTCTCCATACATGATTTGTACTTGGTAGCTTTGTAAAGACATAATAGAGTGCTGTGTGAATAGGTAAATGAGGGCACAGATTGTAGTGAAGAGCTTTGAGTATCCCGGTTGGATAGAAAGGCTCTATGTAAGTACAGAGACCTTTTATAATTTACAAGAATAGGACAACTTTCATCTCCAGCAGCTGGTCTCCTCAGTTCTGAGCTGTTTACAGCTAGCTGTTGTTAAAACGAGGCGATGCTTTGCAGTGAGAGACATGGTCCTTYGCCTTGTCTAAWGCAAAATTGCCTTTTTTATTAGCACAATTTCTCAGTCTAAATATTTGAGACCATGTTCCACTTTGAATAAAATACGTGATTAAGAAAGTAGCAAATNGGCTCGGGGGGTGGGGGGGTCAAAATGTTTCAATGAGAACCACATGTAGGGAGGAGAGAGCTGCCACTAACCAGAGAGGGAGAGGCCGACACAATCAGCAGGGCAGAGGAAGAGGGAAAAGGAGAGCAGCTGAAGAAGAGGTCGGAGACGACAGAACCCAAACAAAAACCAAGATCAGAACCASGACCAAGATCAGAAACAGGACCAAGATCAGAACCACCATGTCAGAGTCCATCAAACGACGAAACTCCAGCAAGCAGCTCCTGCAAAACCTCATCAGGTGAGAAAGGAAACACTTTCACACAGAACGAGCAAAGGGTCATCACTTGAGTACTGATATAAGCAGCTTTCAAACTGTAAGTTCTGCAGAAGTCTAGAAAAATCACGAGTGTGTTTACAGCTGTGGGGAAAATAATTTTTATTTTACTTTCCTTTCAACTTATACAGTTGTTGACAGCTGGTCCTACAGGATGTACAACACYTCAGCCAATATTTAAATATTTATGCAGATTTATAATTGTAAACTGTTATATCGGGGTAGAAAAGAAAGGCAGKTTATGTTCTCAGATACACACCAAGTCATTATTTATGAGAAACCAACGGGYTCATCATGTGAATTTAAATTCAAATAAGTTCTCGCTTAATATGTCACTTTCTTTTCCACTTCAGCTCTCTTTTATCTAGAAATGAACTAAAATAATGTTTTTGTTAACTAAGAAAACATTAATCACACAAAACAAGTAATAAACCAATAAGCTACACTTAACACAACCTTAAATCATGTATTCTTACACTTTGGTAMATTTTACTGAGTCATAATTATAAAACATAATTTATTGTTAGTGGTGATATTAAGTAAACTGTAAGGAATTAAAGTTTGTCCACAGGGGTTTTCTAATGATGTGTCTCCTGCTCCCAGATAATCAGAAACACGTGTGAGATCCAGTCCAACACTATCACCAAATATGACCTCAGGGTTAAATAACTTTTGTTATCAACATTACAAATACCAGGAACAGGGGCTGCTGATCTGCTCAGTAAACACGGTGCGCTGACATGCAGGGAAAGATTATTGATATTGTGAAGAACATTTATTATATAACTTTAATATAAAATTTGTGCAAAGTGTAAAGTATCGATGATWTGTAAAGATGCACTGAAAGTTATAACTAAGATATAACCTGAGAAACAAATCTCAAAATATAAAAAAATAAATAAATTAAAAACANGCAAAATTGCCTTTTTTATTAGCACAATTTCTCAGTCTAAATATTTGAGACCATGTTCCACTTTGAATAAAATACGTGATTAAGAAAGTAGCAAATGTTTTGCATTTTATTTTTGTTATGGTTTAATGTTTTATACATCGTCTGGGATTTTAGAACATTTGCACACAAAGTAAACAGGAAAAACATGTTTTATCATTAATAGTGTGAAAAAAAAGAGAGACCAAGCAGAAACTTAACGATGCATGAAATCTGAACCCTRACCCATCCATCTTCCTCTGAAACAGATGGTGTTGCATGCCAGAGAAAAAGTTGTGGCCGTTATTTKTTCCTGTGCGACTTGTTTATCCAAGTGGTTTGAGTTTCCAGGAGACTTGCTCACCTCAGAGCTCTGTCAGATTGTTTTCTCTTTTATGGATTCAGACAAATGCAGACAGCTGCTGGGTCTCCTCTGAGCCTCGTTCTGACACCTTCAGACACATAAATTGGGTTCAGGAGCTCTTTGTAGCATTCTAAAGATTTACCACAGAGAAAGCTTGAACAGATGAGCTCAGCGTTTCGTCCTCTATTGTAAAAGTTAAGCAAATGAGGACATGGAAAAATAGTTTGTGCAATTTATTAGGTGTGTGAAAAGAATAAGAAAACATAAACTACTTTGACAAATAAGCTTTAGTGGCTTTTACTGAAGTCATTRCAAACTTCGTAAAACATRAAACACATATTTTTTCACTTTTTTWAAGAAACTRCAAAAATTCTCCTATCTGGCTAATTCATAATTTCCACCCTTCTTTCACATCAATCTGTTTTCTGAAACAATGGCCTACTCCAGGAACTGTGTTTACTTCCATCTCCAACAGGCTGCATCAATTTAAATTTTCTTGGATTAGCAGCTGAGTGTTTTGTCCTGACGTCACTCACTCTGAATCCATTYCCTCATCTTTGTGAACTGAACCAACACAGCCGGCCTTCCTGCTCCAGACGCCGGCTTTATGGCGCAGCTGGCAGCATTTACTGACTGGATGGAGAGGTTCTGGCTAAGAGTCGAGCTGAAACATTCAGGCCAAATTCAGATGGACATTTTCAAGCTGTTTGGTAAACTTTAAAGTATTGTGGGTAACGGTCAGCTTCAATGTAAAAAAAAATAGATAGAAAACATAAGAACAGTAATCACAAGAAGAGTAAAAGAA